TCACAATTCATGGCAGCCAGTCCCAAATTGGCGCCACTTCTAGGATGAAGCCACGTGGCTTCCACTCTGTAGGAAAGCCATGCAGTCCAGCAGCTGCTTCCAGAAGGAAATCTGCAGGAAAAGGTAAGCAACTGTGACCGATTGGTGACCGGGGGGGGGGGGGGGGGGGGGGGGTGGGAGGGGGGGGAGAGGGGTGGGGGGGATTTCTGAAGCATTCCTGAAGTTGTTCATAAGGGCTGGTGGATTGCCAAGCAGCAGTTGTAACTTCAAAATCAGGTTTTGGGAGGTCCATCATAACTTTGAACAGCTGCTAACCAACTGTTGGTAAGTTGAGCACTACCTGTGGGAGCAGAAGAACATCACTTTAATTGGGAAAAAAAAACTGAACAAAGAAAATGAACTATAATTACTTCCTTGGGCATCTGAGCAAATGATCTGTGTTACTGATGAGAACATCATAGAAGAAAGTAGCTATGGGCAGGCACTCCATCTCTTTCACCGAGATGTAGTTCTAGACTTACAACCATTCTTTTAGTTTGAACAGTTTGAAATTAGAGTGGAACTGAAAAAAAGTGATTTATGACTGTTTTTCACGCTTATGACTATTCCAGCGTCCAGTCAACGTGATTGGAATTCAGTTGTTTGGTAACTGAATGTATTTTTGACAGTTGCAATATCCCGGGGTCATGTGATCACTTCTTGCAACCTTCTGACAAGCAAAGTCAGTGGGGAAGCCAGATTCACTTAACAACCATATTACTAAATTAACAACTGCAGTGATTCGCTTAACAACTGTGGCAAGAAAGGTGTAAAATGGGGCAAAACTCACTTGACTGTCTTGCTTAGCAATGGAAATTTGGGGCTCAATTGTGGTTTTAAGTCGAGGACCACCTGCACCTAGCAGCTGACATAAAGGGGCTTGCATTAACAAGCCTACCTCTTGGAGAGTGAAGTCACTGGGCTTGGGATAAGCGTCTCTGTTGGCACACATCTAACCCCAGCAGATTGAAGGTCCTGCATAAGAACAGAAAATAAACTCAAGCTTGTTTATTTGTGAGGCTATTGTCCTACTTTTTATTCACAACCCAAGACGGTTCTCCTCCAATTTTCCCCTCAATTATCCTGTGAAGTAGGTTGGACTGAGAGAGAATGACTGCCCTACAGTTGCCCAACCCATCATCAAGATTACTATATTACCCTGGTTCTCCTGATAATTCGTTCATCTGGAAAAATATTAGGATACTATTTTAGGGCTCCTATAAGCAGAATGTTATGTGGGAATATTCTCTCTTAAGGATATCTCCATTATTTTCTATAGGCTGTTCTTACTTTTATTCTATAAATAAGGTAGAGGGGAGAGCCAGCTTGGTATAATAGTTAAGGCTCCAGGCTAGAAACTCAGTGTTGTGGTTGGTCGACTGTAGTTTGGAGATGGCAGTCAAATCAGAGGAGATGAGTGGGAGGGGGGGGGGAGGGCTGGGTTATTTTATTTATTTATTTATTTATTTATTTATTTATTTATTTTGTCAATCGCTTACAAGATAACAGGTATAAGTATAAACATAGTTATTGTTAGGGATAACATTGGTTACCTAACTTATTTGGCTAAAATAATATATAAACTATGTTAGTGAGTTTAAGTGTATGTATCACTTTAAACTGTAAACCAAGTTTTTGGGTGCGGTTGTAAAATCACCATAAGAGGGAGCAAGAGAGCTCACTGTTTGCCCTGGCTTATACTGGAATGCTGACAATGATAGATTGATGGTGATAACTGCGTGTTTACTGAGAGAAGAAAAGGGGTTTGATTTTTCTTCATATCTCTGACTGCAAAAAGAGATATATCACTGGACTGATTGATTGAAAGTTGAATGCACTCTTTTTCGACACTGGACTTTGCAAACTGAATAAACCCCGGACTGACTGAACTTAGTGTATGACATATGGACCGTTTGACTATGCTATAACTCTTGCTGGAATAAAAACTATTTAACTTGCACAGTGTATCTGTCTTACTGAGTGTAAGCTACTACAACGTTTTGTCTCACATATCTGCCTGTCTGCTAGACTGCCGTTGCACGTTCTGCTAGGGTGTATATCCCTAACAGTTATGAATACATGAAATGGATACATATAAGAAAAATAAAAAGAAACAATAGGACAGGGACGGTAGACATGTTGGTGCGCTTATGCACGCCCCCTCTTAGGAAAGGGGTGAAGTCAATAGTAGACAGTCTAAGGTTAAAGTGTTTGGGGAAGAAACCACAGAGTCAGGTAGAGTATTCCAAACATTGACCACTCTGTTGCTGAAGTCGTATTTCCTGCAATCAAGTTTGGTGTGGTTTACCTTGAGTTTGTATCTATTGTGTGCTCTTGTATTGTTATGGTTGAAGCTGAAGTAGTCATTGACAGGTAGAACATTGCAATGTATGATTTTATATACTATACTTAGAGCGGACTGAAGGCGGCGTGGTTCTAGGTTTTCTAGGTCTAGAATTTCGAGTCTGGTGGCATAAGGTATTCTGCAACGAGTAGAGGAGTGGAGAACTCTTCTTCTGAAATATTTCTGGACTTTCTCAACTGTGCTAATATCATATATTATCAGAGCCAGTAGAAGGCTCTGAGGAACAGGAGGTCTCAAAGCCAGATGCAGAGTAGAGCCCATGTATTCACGCTCAGGTGGAGAGACAGCTGTTCTGGGGGCCTGAGATGAGTGAGGGGGAAGAACAGCTGGGCCCTGTCCTAGATGCGCATATGTGCAGAGAAGTGCGGAGAGGAGAGCAATGCAGGACTGAGGGCCAGCTATTTAGGAAAAGAAGGAGACATTAACAAGCCCTTCCCTGGCTGAAATATAAGTAAGATGGGTGTGGGAGGTGTGGGTGTCGGAGACACCCATTCATGCTTCAGAAGAGTTCCCTCTGGCGGATTCTTCGCCAGGATTTCCTTGCCACTAACCAGGTCAGTCAGGACTCTTTGTGTTGGAACTGAAGTGCTATTTGAGGCTCCCTGAGGGGAACTCAGAGACTGTTACACTTGTGAATTACCTATGGATGTGTGACCTGGAGCTTTGTCAATGAATGCCACGAATTCCTGCTTTTCTAAATAAAAAGGGGTTTTTCCTCATGAGGAGGCTGTTGATTTGGGGCTTGTGAAGGCTTGGTCAGAACACTGGGAGACCAGGAATGCTAGTCCCACCTTAGGCACAAAACAGCTGGCTCATCTTGGTCTAGTCACTTTCTCTTAGTCCCAAGAAGCAGGAAATTGCAAACCACCTCTGAAAAACCTTGCCAAGAAAACTGCAGGGACTTACAGTACAATCTAGCTGAATTCAGTAAAACCTACTACCAGGCAATTGTGCATACGATGACACTTGTACTAAAAGTTATTTGAAAGTGCTAGACTTGCAAAGAGAATAAGCCACGGCTGTAATGGAGCCAGCCCATTTTGATCATAAGTAGTAACAGTTGTAAAATAGATTGGTCATGTAACTACTCCAGTTTTAAGTTCTTTATTTGTGGCAGTTTTTAAGTGAACCACCATGGTCAGTAAGTGAAATCCATAATGTTACATTGATTAATCGTTCTCATTGTCAGAAAACTCCCCCGTATTTTAGGTTGGATCTTTCTCTGATGGGCTTCCATTCATTGCTTCTTCTCCTGCTGTAGGTCCTATGGAGAACAAATCAATGCCTCTTCTTGTGACAGCCCTTCTAATACTGGAAGACAGCTATCATGCCACCCCTAAGCCTTCTCTTTGTAAGGCTATACATACTTAGCTCCCTTTATCCTCCAGACGCTTTATCATCTTTGTTGCTCTTCTCTGCACTCTTTCTAGGGCTTCAGCATGTTTTTCTACTGTGGTGACTAGAATTGGATGCAATATTCCAAGTGTGTCTCCCAAGTGTACTATCACTTCCTGTAATCTTGATACTATCCTTCAGTTGATGCAGCACAGGACTGCATTGGCTTTTTTGGCAGCTGCAGCAGCACACAGCTGACTGACACTAAAGTGACTGACTGACACAAGGTATCCACATTCCTCTCACAATTACTACCATGTTTCCACATAAATATGACCTTACCCAGGGGTGTCAAACTGGCGGTCCATGGGCCAGATGCAGTACGTGCAGGCCATGCCCACCCCAGCTCTGAGAAGGGAAAAAATATCACGAAATGTCACATGATAGCAATGTGACACCGCGGGTTTGACACCCATGACCTATCCCGAAAAGAAGCCTTATCCCGATTTTCATGCCTGCACCTAATATAAGCCCTACCCCAAAAATAAGCCTTAGCTAAGCCCCACACACCATCTGGTTGTATGAGGTGAGGCGAGGTGAGGTGCAGACGAAAAAATCAAGTTAGGGAAGGGAGGTGGAGGGGTGGAGCTGCCCCATGTGCCCCACACTTGCGGCCGCTCGCAAGCAAAATGTCACAAGACTCATCTCACTGGTGCTGCTGCTTGCCTGCGTAACAGCACAATGCATCATGCAGCCTCCTGCCGTGAATGGCAGTACTGGTGCGACAAGCCACACAGTGTCCTGTGCCGCGAATAGCAGCAATGGTGCAGCAAGCCACGTGGTGTCTTGCCACAAGTAATCATAGAAGAAACTGGGTAGCGGCACAATAGGTTTTGGGGCATGGGGCCAAAAAGAAAATAAGACTAGGTCTTATTTTTGGGGAAACACAGTACTGTTAAGCCAGATCCAACTATTCCATACCTGCTTTTTCCTGACAAAATGCAGGACCTTACTTTTCTCACCACTTTGAACAGTCATGAAGCAACCAATCATTAAGTCAAGGACTAGCTGTAATGGGAATTGCACTACTCTTATTGGTATTATGATGATGATTGTGATTACTATTCTGTTGCTTTGCATGTACACTGGGAGCTTCTGTACTGGAGACAAATTCTTTGTGTGTCATACTTGGCCAAATAAAGTTATTCTATCTTATCCTATCCTATCCTATCCCATCCCATCCCATCCCAACCCATCCCATCCCATCCCATCCCATAAAATGAAGTAGGTCAAACAAATATAATCAAATGAAATTAACATTCTAATGCTCTTTCTTTTGAACATTGTTTTGAACTGTGATTGAGTTGCTCCACTCAGGTGGAGATAGTAGGTGATTTTGGCATTGAAAACTAGAAATCTTTCTTTCTCAATAGGAAAAAGGGAGACCATGCAGATCCATTGGGAGAATTGGAAGAGCTGAATTAACATGCTATTTTTCCTAGTATTTCACATTTTTATCCACTGTAAAAGATTTCTGCTTGCATTTATTGACACACCCGAACAAACAATCAAAATTATGGTGGAATGAGTTCCCAGTTGGTGAACAGCAAGTATGGGATAATAATAATAATAATAATAATAATAATAATAATAATAATAATAAT